CAGAAATATGTTCGTAAGAGGGACACGGTACCTTTAAAAAGCAAAAATCCTTCCAGCAGATGTCCCCTTAGCACAGAAACGTGCAAACACAACTATAGAGGATCCAAAAAATGACCAAGAATAATGAGTGCGAAGATCGAGTCAAAGATAATAACACATGAGTGAAGTCAGGTAGTAGACAGGGCGGACAGACCTACCTAAAGATAACCAAACATCCACCAAGACACGACATATCGGTATTACGACATAAAAGCGTAAGATCTACTTTCGAAGTCTGACACAACTATCGAAAAAAATACTCGAAAAAAATAATAAATTAAAATACACATATTCACATAGTGAGTAAAAAAAACGTACTGTGATAGCGGCTAAAAATCGGATATATAAAATGAGCGGATTATAGTACCTCAAAGACACACAAGTGATATGTATATCATAGTGGATGATGATTACAGCGTCGATATAACACACTAACATCTACAAAGAGGCATTAATAGAATCCAGTCAGCACTAATGACGCACATCTAATAAAGGCAGATTGGGTTAAAAGAAGTACCGCATCTATTCAACATACGCGTAACGAATACATAAGAGAACAGAAATTCAGCGCACATTCTGAACAACAAGACACTAAATTCAAAATATCTGCTCAAAAAAAGGACACCACGCCAACAGTAAGCTCAAATTGGGATAACAAGATTACATGTATTGAAACGACTGAACGTCTGACCAGGATGCACGACGGGTAAAACCGCGGTATATCACAACATCGTGATGTAGTAAGAACATATTATTCGCATCGGCACGTTTTTTTGATTTATTCTTGATGATCTTCTCCGGTTCTGTTTACTCACGAGTTTACCATTTCACCGTACAGACATGGATAAATGCACAGTGAAGGAAACCCACCATATGATCACAAACCCAACATTGATTGCAATGTGAAATATCATCCATAGAAGCGCACCTGAAGACAGCAAGAACGGAAAAAAAAACCAAAAAACGAAAAAAAAGTCACAAGACGAATATTGAACTGTTTGCGTGTACAGTAAGGACATCTGCTGAAGGTTTTTGCTTTTTAAAGGTACGTTTCCTCTTACCGAAATATTTTGCGCTCTCTTCCACGTATGATTTCGCTTCGTGAATGAGAGGCTTGCTTGGTCGGAGTCGGAAGGGCAAGTTGCGCAGACCTTTGTGCCTTCGGTTTTGATTTTATTGATTTCTGGTTGTGTGTGGTTTTGGTATTTTTTTGTTGTCATGCTTCTCTATTGTTTTTTTTGTTTGTTGTTTTATTTTGTGTTGGTCTTTCTCCTTTTTACCTTTTCCCTTCTTCTATTCTGTTCTTTACCTTTCATCTCTTTTATCTCATTTTTTTTTTTAATTTTCCGTTTCCTGTCATTACTTCATGATCCATATCATTAGTATTAGATCATCCCATTAACTAACTACAATCCCATCAATCCATCATATATTAACACAACAACATACCACTCAATCCAAAAGCCAATCGGAACACATCACACCTACTATTTCCACAGCCGTCTTCTCACCAATCTTCCTCGCACAACAGCTCCCTCACCATGGGAAAGAATCTGCCTCGTGTGGCCTCCTGGATACACCGCGCAGCTCGCCTCCTGTGGGCTTGGGGGGCTATTCCAGGTGTGTCCTTTGGGGCTTTGGGGGGTTCCAGGTAGGTCCTCTGGGGCTTTGGGGGCTATCCCAGGTGAGTCCTTGGGGTTTGGGGGGCTATCCAGGAGTCCTGTGAGGGGGCTTTTGGGGGGCTATTCAGGCCTGAGTCCTTTGGGGGCGTGGGGGGCTATCAGGCTGAGTCCTTTGGGGCTTTGGGTGGGCTATCCAGCTGAGTCCTGTGGGGCTTTGGGGGGTCCAGGTGAGTATCTTTGGGGGCTACTCAGGTGAGTACCTTTGGGGCTTTGGGGGGCTTATCCAGGTGGCGTCTTTGAGGGCTTTGGGGGGCTATCCAGGTGAGTCTGTGGGGCTTTGGGGCTACCAGGGATAGTTCTTTGGGGGGCTATCAGTGAGTCCTTGGGGCTTTGGGGGGCTATCCACGTGATCTTTGGGGCTTTGGGGCTATCCAGTGAGTCCCCTGTGGGGCTGTTGCGGGGGGCATCAGGTGAGTTGGGGCATCCAAGTGAGTCCTGTGGGCCTTTTGGGGGGCTATCCAGGGTGATCCCTTGGGCCTTTGGGGGGCTATCCCAGGTGGGATCCTTTTGGGCCTTGGGGGGGCTATCCAGTGAGTCTTTGGCTTTGGGCACCAGTGCCGTCCGGTGGGGCCAGTTTGGGAGCAAAAGGGGGGGGGTGTTGCAATTGGTGGAGGAATTGTTGATTAGAGATTAGAGATGAGAGAAAGAGGGGGGGGAGAGGGGGGGGGAGAGGGGGGGGAATATCAAGGAGGGAGAGGGAGGAGACGGGGGGAGGAGTACGGAGGGGGAAAGCCCCCAAACTATATTCATTATTCGTTGTGACTTTTTTCGTTTTTTTTTTTTTTCTTTCTTTCCTTTTTTTAGGTCGCGGTGTTCACATGCAACATGTTGGGTTGGATAATGGGTGTTTTTTTTTTCTTTTTACTTTTGCTTATTATCCATTTTGCTTCTTTGAAAGTAAATGTGAGAATAAACAGATGTATAGAGGGACAGGTAGACCTATAGATCTATATAGATGTAGAAATGCTTGTCTGTGCGAGCAAGCGTTTTGTATGTGTGTGTTTTGTGTGTGCGTGTGCGGTTGTGTTCGTGTGTGTGTGTGTGTGTTGTGTGTGTGAGTGTGTGTGTGTGTAACATGTGTATATGCATATATGTGTATATATGTTTTTGTGTGTGTGTCTGTGTGCGTGTGTGTGTGTGTCTGTGCATGTGTATATATGTATATATGTGTATATATGTGTGTGTGTGTGTGTATATATGTGTGTGTGTGTGTGTGTTGTGTGTGTGTGTGTTGTGTGTGTGTGTGTGTGGTGCGTGCATGCAAACACACGAATGCTCGCTCAAGTACTCGAAATCCCGTTCTCCTAATAGGCTCGACTTTGTGAAGGTGAGACTTCCCAGGTGGCCAAACAGGCGGTCGTGCACCCCGCCTTTCCCGCCGCCACTCCCATACGGTTCACAAAGCCTATGAAGGATGTGGGACTATCGACCATGTAGTGTTCCACGGTGGATGAGCGTCTTCTTAACGCGATCTTCGAATAGCATCATTTGGGTAAGACTGCTTCAAAAACCTCAGATTCTCATATATGTCTATTTTTTTATCGCGTGTATGTGTGTGTGTGTGTGTGCGTGTGTGTGTGCGTGTGTGCGTGTGTGCGTGTGTTGTGTGTGTGCGTGTGTGTGCAGATTGAAAAATCTTCAGTAAGTGAAAGATCCTTCCTAGACAGACACAAAATCGAACAGACAGCTCTGACTTCATGCACCTGAACGTACGCTGACACACGACAGGCTCCGAAATGACGCCTGTAGACCGCTTACGTTCACCACCCACTTCCGTCTCTTCCCCTTCCACGCACTTATTCCCGTTTTTTTTTTTTTTTTTTTTTTCTTCTTCCTTCTACGTTTTTTGTATATACACGTACTCCTATTCCCTTTTTTTTTTTACCTCCCTCTACGTTTTATATATACGTATACATGTGTACGAGTGTGTATGTGCGTGCGTGTGTGTGTGTGTGTGTGTGTGTGTGTGTGTGTGTGTGTGTGTGTGTGTGTGTGTGGTGTGTGTGTGTGTGTGTGCGTGTGGTGTGCGTATGCGTGTGTGTGTGTGTGTGTGCGTGTGTGTGTAGTATGCATAGTATGTATGTATGCGCTTCCGTATATCCTGCATAATAAACTGTCCCGTCCATTCCTTCGCCCCTCAGCGGGTGGCGGCCCCCGGCAACCCAGTGCCACGGCGGCCGGGTGTGCCGAGCCAGACGCGTGCCATTCCGCGCGGAGGCACCATGCTCGCCCCAGACAGGTCAGACTTACCACTGAATTTATGTGTGAACGACGCACTGAGAGGCAGAGTGAGAAGGTGAATTTCGGGATTATTGCAGTCACTTAGATATAGGAATTGCCGAATATAGTTGTATATTTAAATGTGATAAAAAGTAGATATGCATATGTGTGCGTGTGTGAGCGAGTCTGTGTGTTGATGTGTGTGAGCGAGTCTGTGTGTGAGCGAGTGCGTGTGTGTGAGCGAGTCTGTGTGTGTGAGCGAGTGTTGTGTGTTGTGCAGGGGGTATCTGTCTGACTGTGCGTACGTGTGCGTTTGTGCGCATGCTTGTCTAAATATGCACATGGTTATTTATTATGAATAGTGAATACTTCAAGGAACTATTTCAGAAAAGCAAAGTGATATACAAAGTAAACAAGTTCACATTTCTCTGTTCACTTCCTGAATAACGTGGACATTGGTTACAAGAAAAAAGTTATATATTTATTATGATTAAGAAACAGGTCGATAGACAAGTGTAAACAATAACAAAAACAACTAGAATTCAAGAAGCCGCAGAATCAAAGCACGAATTCAATTATAGTTTTTTATAAAACTATGAGAAACATGTAACCTCGAAAGTCGGAGAAAAATCCATTATTGGTCAATCGATACCTTGCCACCTTGCAATACACGTGTTGCTCAATAGTTTTTTTTCATATATATATATATATATATATATATATATATATATATATATATATATATATATTATATATATTATATGATGGATGTACACATATATATACATTATATATACATCTCTGTATATGTATATATATATATATATATATTATATATATATATATATATATATATTATATATATATATATATTATATATATATAATATATATATATACACACACACACACACACACACACATATATATATAATTATATATATATATATAATATTATATATATATATATATATATATATATATTATATATATATATATATATAATATATATATATATATATATATATATATATAGTGTGTGTGTGTGTGTGTGTGTGTGTGTGTGTGTGTGTGTGTGTGTGTGTGTGTGTGTGTGTGTGTGTGTGTGTGTGTGTTGTGTGTGTTGTGTGTGTGTGTGTGTGTGGATATATAGATGTTATAGCTTATGTGTTTAATCATATTTTACTATAATTATCTTCACCATTCTCATTATCACTGTCATGATTATTGTCATATCATTATCATTATCGTAATAACTATCATTATCATCATGATCTCTATCATCATCATTTTATTATGATTATTATCATTATCATTACTGTCATTATTATCATTATCACAATTATTATTTTTACTACTATTAGCATCACTATCATTCTCATTATGCTTATTATTACATTCTTATTACTTTTATTGTTGCTATTATCATTATCCTTATCATTATCATTGCTATCATTTTATTACTGTTGTTTTTTCTTCTTTTTTTTTTTTTTGTTTGTTATCATTATCATTATCATTTTGCTATTGTCATAATCATTGATATATCATCGTCATCATCATCATCATCAAACAGCAGCAGCAGCAGCACCATCATTATCATCATTATGATTATTATTGTCATTGTCGTTACTGTCATTATCATAATTGCTATTATACTAGCATCACTATTATTTTCATTATCATTATCATCAGTAGTATTAGTGACAGTATTAGAATCAACATCAGTGCACATTAGTACTCGTATCATCACTACTCTTATCATCATTACTGCTGTATCATTATCTTCATTTCTATCTTAAGTATTATTATCATTATTACCGCGTCGTCATCAATGTTATCCTTACTATCGCTTATATTGTTAAAATCAATTTTTACTAATACTGTACCTGTTGCTGTCCTTCTGTCATTATCATTATTGCCACTAGCTAAATCATTATCATTACCATAATCATTGTATGACTATGGTTATTATCATTACTGTCAGTGTAGATGTATCGTTATCATCACCATAATAATCATTAACATCGTCGATACCATCATCATCATGTTGCATTATTAGTCTATTATCATCATTAGCATTTACTTTTTTTATTTACTATTTCTTATATATATATTTATTTTATCATTTATCATTTTCATTTATTCATTTATTTACTTATCTATTTATGTATCTATCTATTTATCCATTTATTACTATTTACTTGTACTAGAATAAATTATTATCAATAAAAGTCATTGCCTTATGGTTAATACCTCGGTTATCATTATGTGCATTTTTTTCTTTGTGGGAGTGGTGTTTTTATGGTAGTGTGCGTGTGTGTGTGTACATATACATACATATATATAACTATATATATATATATATATGTATTATATATATATATATATATATATATATATATAATATATATATATATATATAGTATATATCTCTGTGTGTGTATGTGTGTGTGTGTGTGTGTGTGTGTGTGTGTATGATGATGATGTATATATACATACATTATATATATATATATATTTATATATATTATATATAACATATATATATATATATATATATATATATATATATATATATATATATATATATATATATATAATATATGTATATATATACATCATCATTATGTGTGTCACACATGATCATTCATAGAATTTCATTGTTCTTGATAGAATGAATAAGATTGGCGGCTATTATCATCTCTCCCAAATGTTTTCTTTATCAAGAAACCCTCTCTATCTAGTTGGTCGTTGATTCTGCTTGAGCTCGTCCGCCCTTGGACAGCTTTCTTCCTTCCTGCAGGTTCACTAGAAAACCTTATTACCATTAAGGTCGAAGGGGAGCGAGTTTGCATGGGACTAGTAACAGGATTGACCTGACACCTGTGTGTGTGTGTGTGTGTGTGTGTGTGTGTGTGTGTGTGTGTGTGTGTATGTTTGTATGTATAAATATGTGAATACATACGTGTATATGTATTGATATATGTAAGCAATTTGAACAGACAGGCAGATGAAGAGACAGAGACAAAGAGAGAGAGATGGAGGAGAGAATGCAAATGGATTCGTCATCCTGAACAGAGAAACTAGGAGCTTCCTGAATACCGTAAACATATTGAATTCCAGACCATGCACCACTCAGTCATTAGAGAATTTATGAAAGTTATCATGTGTAAAGAAAATTCTTCTCATGGTCTGAGTCCAGCTACTGTGTCGTTGCCTGGTGACCAAACCCCGCTACACTAACAATCCCGACCCCGTTACTGCCAACACTGCATGATCAATACAAAAGTGTCATGCACAGACTGTCAGTCAAAAAGAGAGACTTCACTGCCACGACTTGTTGATTTTTTTATATATTTGTTTGGGTAAACGCAAATATTTACTGGGAAAAAAGTTTAATGCATTTACTGTTTTCTTTATATTTCACAGATTCGCCATGTTCCTGCTGCTCTATGGACAGGAGGTGATCGAGCGGCCCGCCCCCTGGTGACACGGCCGTGGAGCGCCAGGGGCCGGGCACCGTGAGCACCGAACCTGCCGGACTGTACCGTTGACGACCT